CGACACGCCGGTGCAACCCTTGACGTTCTTGGCCTGCATCAAAGGGAATCACCAAGCACAAAACAATAAAGGTTGAAATCTCTGTAAAATTGCTAAAGCATGCAAAATCTTAAGTCTCCATCTGCAGACCAGCAGGCCGTTTCAAACCCCGCCTGAAACTGTTCAGGATTTTGCCTTCTAGGCTCGTACTGGAAGGTCAGAACATCGCCAACCTTCGGCACCTTGCCCGGCTCACACTCAGACTGGTGCACAAAGAGAGTGATCCCACCCATGTCGATGAAGCCAAAGCCCTGGCAAGCGGGATTCCAAACAAACTTCAAGATGCCATGGAAACCACGACTGGGTTGTCATGGGTTGCCATGGGGGGTTGCCTTGACAGAAGGCTATGTGGCTACGCTTGGGAGCTAACTTGCATTGTGTCAACAGCCAAGAACGTGTGTCTGTACAGCACAGTACAAGCACTGGGACGCACGCCTTCCAAGTGAAATTGGTGCAAGTGCCTGTGCCCTCTGGCAAGGCTGCCGACATTGCGCTGGAAGGGCCTGTGATTCCTAAACATGTATCTCCAGCCAAAATAGTAACAACTCGAAACAAAAGAAACTTCCAGAATGGTTCAACTCATTTCACACCCAAGGAGAGCAAGAATGAGCTGAACAACATCCTTCAATGACATGACGGGAATGCATTGCAAGGATGAACTCTTGACAAAACCAGGGACAAAGTGGAGGAGGCTGATTTTTTCATCATTTTTCTTTGCACCCGCACTCCAAGAGTCCAGATGCGTGCTTGGACCTTTGCTCCACTTTCAGTAAATTCTACTGGACATTATCTGATAGTATTCTACCAGCTTCGTAGCATTGCCACACTCCACGGTGAGTACAAAAATGGAGATGGATTTACTGCCCATGCTGCGCCAGTACGGAAGCCTAGCACAGGGTCAACGGGTCAACGGCGGCTCGAGGTCCTAATGGCCTACCACTTGCCAAAGCCTTTGCCGTAGGGTCCATTCGCCATCATCATGCCGCCCTTCAATCCGCCCTTCATTGGCGGACCGCCCCAGCCACCACCGAAGCCACCGAAGCCCTTGCCACCATCCCACATGCCTTTGCCACCGCCCCATCCCCAATCGGGGCCCCACATTGGGCCGAACCCACCTGCATGCGGAGCATCCAATGGTTGGCTACCACCTGTGATGTTGATTGCCTGCTTCTGCCCTGGATTTCTGTCACTATCACCAATGTCAAATTTCACGGTGTCACCTGCCACGGGTTTGCTGCCCACGCATTCCTTGACATTGAAGAACATCTCCACACCATCCTGTCAGGAAATGACTAAGGATTGAAAGTCCCACCTGAGAAGAAGGGGAATCCAAACCAGGCCAAAGAGGTGGAGAAGAGGAGGAGGGGAGAATGGAACGAATTTGAAGCGGAAGAGGAAGGAGAAGACCCCCTAACTCACATTTCCCTTGCAACAAGCATCTGCAGCCTAGCCTACCAGCTGGCATTCGTCTAACAGCTGCCGCACCTCCATGGTGATGAAACCATAACCCTTCGTGCCGAAGTTCTTCACCTTCCCGGTGTGAGCTCCAGTGCCCTCAACTGGACCTGACCAGGCTTGAGCCGCGAAGGGATTCTGACGGACATCTGTGCAGCCCTTAACTTCTTTGGCTTGCATCTGCTCAGGGTTGTTTCTCCTGCACAATCTGCGCAGCTGAAGCCTGTGGACTAGTTTCAAGTTGGGCATGAAGAATGACCGGGTTTAACCAAGGTTGAAAAGGGAAACCCCAGCCATGAGCAAACACGTAAAAAGGAGGGTGTCGAAAGATCGGAAAGGAATGATATAGGTGACCCACCCAGTAGGTCTTCATAGCAAGCAGAATTGCTGCAGTACTTCCCAACGCAGGAGAATCATAGAGAGAACTGAAAGGAAACAAGAAAAAGAAAACTAAGTAAACATATGTAAACATGCATGTAGGATCTCCTTGGCTCAAGAGAGAAGGTCAGAACATCGCCGACCTTTGGCTGTTTGCCTTCTTCACACTGCGTGTAGTGCACAAAGACGGTCACTCCACCCATATCGATAAAGCCAAAGCCCTGAGCCACGATACAACATAGGCAGAGTGACATGTGTGACAGGACAGAATGGCAGGATTCAGTTGACACCTGGACATCGCCATCCAACCATCACCCAAGCATCACCCAGTCGCCTTCAAGGCATTGAACGAGGTGCAAGTGCCAGTTCCGGGGGACTGAGATGTTCAAGGTGCAAGTTTTCGCGAAAGACGAATTCTGAACATGTACAGGTATATCATGGTATATGTATATTTAATATTATATAATTGATTTTATGATATTTTACCTGGAGAGGGAACATGCTCAGTGTGCAACAGATTCACCAGCCACAATGGATGACAGGCTGATCATATTGTGGCGCCGCTTGCATCCAAGCTGCTTGCGTCATCTTTTCTACACTGCTGGTTGCGTGGCACTCTTGAGCAAAGCTGGATTGCAGAGAAAGAGAGAAAAATCGTGAAAAATCATGAAGTACAAGTTTCCAGACATCAATTTAGACACCTGCTGCCAGGCGAAAAGCATCAACCGGTTGGTATCATGATGATACTTAAGTTTGATTCACCTGTCACTGAATCGGATACAGTACCGATTCATGTCCAATCTCTCTGACCCTGAGCACGCGACTGCCAGCGCCTCCAAATAGCTCCGCAACCTCAGACCAGCCAGAAGCGGCACGAATGCAGGGAGGACAAAGACCCAATGGACATCCAGGACAGCCGTCCAATTCAAATGTTTGATGCGGCCAGTTGCATGATATTTTCTTTGGAGATGCTCCATGACTACAATCTCTACCTGGACTTCTTGCACCGAAATTCCAACGCTGCTATTGGATCTATTGGTCTCTGGCCGAAGATGGCAAGCTCAAACGTCGCCGTTTCCGGTCCTGCTGGTATATCTAGCAGGAACTCTTGAACTAGCTTCGCGGGCTCATGTGAAACATTGTAAAACCCAAAGCAGCAGTAAGTGAGTTTTGAATGTGATGGAATACGTTGCAGCCAATTATTTGTCAAAAACAGGTGCCCTTTGCCTGGGATTCATCGCTGGAGCTGGATTCCAGCGCCATTGCAGGAGGTGACCCAGAGCATGTACTGCAAATTACTGCATTCCCTTCAAATTGTCTGCTGAACTGCACTTTGAATAAACAACTTCTGTGCTCCATCGGCACCATAACTGTCGGTGCCCACGAAAAAGAGAGCACACACTTCTTAAGCCAGACTGCTTTGTTGGTTCACATCTGCTCTCCAATTCATTCAAGGAAGTCAGGAATGCTTTAGTGATGCCACGAGGGTCAGAAAATGTTCAAGCACGTCAATGCAGCAAATGCTTGTCATATCCTACAGTACAATACCTTTTTCCGCAAAGCATAACATAAATCCGTATGAGTGCATCACGAGTTTGCTCGAACCGCTCCGACATATGGAGTAAACACAGTGGTGTATGAGGTAGACAAACAAGAACCGCGACATCGTCACTTCTGCATTGAAGCGTAGTTCCGGCTTCGGCGAAAGACGGACAGGATGAAGATTGCCCTAGCACAACGCACGTTGCTTTCCCATGCCAAAAATAAATGCTATATAAATCATGCTAAACTCGCATTGCTTTTGAAATTTTGGGTTGGTCAGCAAATGTCAGCAGCCTACACCATGTGGCAACATGCGGCAACAACTTTCAACGCCCAGAGTCGTTACCAAAAGAAGGGCAGAGCGCACAGCGTCGCAGAAGAGCTCCAGGTGCTTGCCAGTGGCTACGGAACATGCTGCCAGTGAAAGTCCGGCAACCACTGGAAAGGCCAACTGGGCAGGGAGGAAACAGGATAGGAATAATATAGGAATGGTGTTTCCTCTAGGAGAAAAGAAAACGATTTATCTTGGGTGATACCTGGTGATCTGGTCGAAATGAACCATTCAGCTCCAGAAGCCAAGCGGCTGACTCCTGAAAAGTTTCAACCAATTATATACTTGGAATGGTCTTGGGAAAGTACTGGTATCATGGGAGGGTCTTCATACCACAAACCCATCTGAAGCAACAAAAAAATGCCAAGTCAACCAAGCGCGCTTCTCACAGTAGATGACAGCAGCAAAATCCTGGAACCCTTTGTAGATCTTGCACTACAAATCCTTCCTTTTTCAAACCAGGAATCTATATCATTCACTACTAAGCATACAAGACTTGCAGTCATGTTCATGTACTGCCTGTTTTGATACTCATGTTGACTTGCTTTGTTTGGGATATTTTCGGAGAAAATTGATATCCAAAATGCCACGGAAAAAACATGGTTATGGTCCCAGACAGCACTGATACTGAAACTTATTGCAGATGTTTGCCGCCCAAAGGCCCGCAGCTCAAAGACCAACTGCTTGGCAAGCTCTGGTTGTTGCCTTAGAATGCAGGGTAATTACACACCTGCAAGCTGCATCTATGGATGCAATGTCAAAATCTCATCGGGGTGCTATTCTCCCTCCGACAATAGATGATCTATCTTTATCATTCTTTATCCCTACTATCATGCTGTACCATATTATATGGTACAGCATGATAGGGATAAACATAAATTTAGTACAACACCATCTAACGGGAGTACTGGGAGCACAAAATCTGGCATGCAGCTCAGCCGGCCATGAGTGAAATACTGTCTCCACCAGGATGTTGAGCATGATCACAATGAAGAGTAGCATCTTGCAAACTACTTCAAACAGTTCCATCCACACCAGGCCTTCCAGAAGCAAACATATGAAAACATCCAAACGAATTTCACAGCACCCCCAGGGCATAGTGTTATATATCCGAATGTATCTAACCTACATATAATATACGTGCATGTGTTGCATATGTGCATACATATATGTAACTTGAAAGTAGGTGGCTCAACTCAAAAACCAAAATGCCCATAAAATGGCACCGCGCGGTGAGGAAGAAAACGGCACTATTTTGGTTGGAACATAAAACGAGTTGCGCCATCTATGTGGTTTGCGTCAAAGATCCAATTGAAGAAAAAATCGCCCCAAAATAGCGCATATTTGATGACCAATTTACTTCAAAATGAAAAGGTAGATGGCGCAACTGCCAGTAATTAATACTACCCCAGTTGGACATAAGGGTATAGTTTACTAAGTTTACTACATGTCGGGTCATTTTTGCTTGTTTTTACCGTGGATTACACGTGTTTGTATTGTATTGCATATATATATATATACATACATACGGGGGTGTCCTAAAGTGAGGGATAATCTTCGCTACTCTGCCACTGCCACTGTACACTGTTGGCTACCAAACATCCCATGCAGTAGATCCCGTTCAAATTCCACTAGATGTTTTATCAAAAAAATGAATTGCGCCATCTATATCTACTGATACATATATATATATATATATGTGTGTGTGTGTGTGTGCGAGTCTACATATGGGGGTGTCCTACAATGAGGGGCAACCTCACATCGAAGGCTGGGGCTCTCCATTACTCTGCCACTGTTGGCTAGCAAAAATCCCAAAAACAAAGTCCACTAATTTTTCCCAGGGATCCAAAAATGAATTACGCCATCAATGGCCCTTAAACCCCCTTCAAATTCAACTATTTTGGATCCAAACATGACTTGTGCCATCTATGTCCATTAAGGTTGGCATTGGCAAACACATTTACAAACAGAACTTTGTCCTGTCCTCATCATCAAGCTCCTTCCTGACTTGCGCAATGGCAAACGCATTTAGAAACAGGCTTTTGTCCTCATCATCAAGCCCTTGCCTGACTTGCGCCATCTATGTGGTTTGGAATTGTTTGTAAACAGGCGCGATTTTGGGGGCATATTTCTTCCTCAGGATGAAAGGAGATGCGCCATCTATGTGGCATATTGTGGTTAGGTCGGTTGAGGGACGTCGGGAGATATGAGGGACTTGCGCCATCTATGTGGGCATTCCCAGCCTGATTTGGGCGAATGAGTGGGACTTGCGCCATCTATGTCCCCGAAAGGCAGCTTGATGTTGAGGAAAAAAAATGGGGGGCAAACCAGCGCAGGAGATTGCAACAAATAGGTCCTTTTTAGGGACGTACATGGCGCGAACTACCTGGTTTGAAAATGGAGTTGCGCCATCCATCCCCTGTATTTTGCCTTTGAGATAGATGGTGCAAGTCAAGAATTTGAGCCATGTACTTTCAGATTAGAGTATGTACATTGACATGCTATACCTGTATATATGTGATAATTTTATATATATATCATATACATATGAATATGTATGTATATATATATATATTTAAAAACAAAGAACACACACATATATATATAGTTTAATAATATTTATATAATCTGATACTGTACAGAATGAAGAACAAAGAGGAGCCGGTCTGCAAGGGCCATGCTGGCCTCGACGGACTTCTGGAAGCATGGCAGATGTCCTTGTGCTTATTGTCAGCATTGATAAGAAAGCGATAACTGCCTCAGATTTCTTATCGGTTTTCGCAGGAAAAGCTATATAACGATGATGCAGCTGAAAATGCTGAAAATTGGCACTGCTGTTGTAACAGCAGGCAGCGGGACACTGAGTCACTGAGCTGGTGACGGAAGAAACTCGAGGCATCGCAAAGCCCGGGTTCACGGGAAAGAGGAAGACCTGAAGTCCAATCACAAACATCGAGAATATTCGAGAATTATAGCTGTATGAAGAGCCATCAAATATTGTCAAGTACCATGAAGGCCCCTAGAAAATGTTTAGGCATTTCAAATGTTCTTCTCAAGCAAGTCTCTGTGAAGGACAGCACCACGATCATGATCTCTGGGAAAATAGTGCTACTCATGTAGGGTGATGCATCTCGAAGCACATGCATCACAAATTGGGCCCGGCTTTTTTTCAAAGATCCCACACTCTCCTCGAACACCTTCAGATCGTGAAATAGAAATGTCCAATCAGACTTGTCAAACGAGCTTGCCCCGATGTCGGAGAGGTTGGCAGTGACCATTGGCACGAGTTGCACATCATCTGTCATGTAAGAGGCTGAAGCCAAGAGCACGTGCAGCGCCTGGCATCAACATGATATAACATGATCATCGTCAAGCCCGGGCAGGGAAAATTGAATGAACATGACTAGCAGACTAGCACACACTAGCACTCTGGAGTGCGGGTTCACGCATTGGCGATCACAAATGCATGTGTAGGTAAATACATCTTGGAACTGCAACAATCATGTTAGATATTTTAGGCATTCTCTGGCCATATCTTGAAGGCTCCAACGCAATGAAAAGCTTCTGCGAGGAATACACTTGGAACAGCAGAGAATATGTTGCCAACAAGTGGCACCTAAGAAGTTCAAGGTTGTAAGTCTTGTAAGCTACTCCCAAGTAAAGAGGATCAAACAAAAGTCTCGAGATGTCTCCAGTAATGAGTCCGTTCCCTCAGGAGCCTGCTGATCGTACGGAAACTCCTTGCCATCAAAGTTTTCCTGCACCACCAGGTCCAGGCTAGAAATCAGGTAGAAAAAAACTGAACCTGAGTCGGTCGTTGTTGTCACCAACAAGTTCTCATCTCAAGTACCACGACCAGGGTAGGCAACTGTCTCTTTGTGGCTTTCTTGGGAATGTTTAGTTTGATGTTCATTCATGGAGTCCCATCCCTCCCCCGCCTTGATCTTCACCAGAAGCCGTTGAGTTTTGTTGACCATGCCATCCACAGATATATGGAAACTGGTAGATATGACACTTCTGCCTTGAAGTTCGGTGTTTGTCACGATGACATCCTGAGGCACCGAGGGTCGACGGATGTCCAAAGTGGAAACATCCGACTTCGAACCACACAACGAATCGCAAAGCCAGCGTTAGATGTGCTAGTAGTTTTCAACATCTTCCATCATATTTTTCCACATGCCAAGCCACTGGGGTCCACATCAAGTCCTTCGCCTGTCCTTCGGAGAGGGTCCTCCCAATTTGGTCCTGAAAGCAACTCACACGTACATCAATGGACAAGGCCTTGACCGTAATGTATTGTAATTTGTTTGGCTCTCACAATCAAGAAACACAAACTCTATGGCATGCATATAAACATGTACCGTGCAACCGTGACGTTGCGCCGCGCCGGAATTGCGGAAGGGCTGCGTATGTTTGAAATGCCATGCCGGTGGACTTTCAATAAGTAGATGTATATGTGATCCATCATCATCATCATCATCATCATCATCCCTTATGAAGATAAGTTGATGCTATTATCAGATTCAGCATATTTGCCACAGGGTGTGGAGGATTTTTGATCCCTTGTGAAGATATGTTGATGCTATTATCAGAGTAGGCATAGTTGTCAAAGGGGGTGGTGGATTTGTTGATCCCTTATGAAGATAAGTTGATGTTATTCCTTATTCAACATATTTGTCAGAGGGGGTAGTGGGTTTGATGATCCCTTATGAATATAAGTTGATGTGATTACCCCATCTAACATGTTTGTCGGAGGGGGTGGTGGATTTTTGGCCCCTTACGAAGATGAGTTGGTGTGATTACCCCATACAATGCATTTGTCAGAGGGGGTGGTGGATGTTGGATCCCTTTTGGAGATAAGTTGATGTGATTACACCATTCAACATATTTGTCATAGAGGGTGTTGGATATTTGATCCGTTATGAACAAAAGACATATAAGTTGATGGTATTTCCCCATTCCACATGAGTTGACACTGGTGATCATGATGATCATGATAATGATGACAAGACCATGGTGATGATGGTGATGATCATGCACCTTGCTCACAACTATATACACAGCGATTGGATTAGTGATAAACATGTGCACTGAAATGTTGTAGCGGATGTGTGTTTGACGGCGTTTTCGCTGTTGCGTTGCTGAACTCCTACGGGAAACGTTCTCAGCATGAAATCACACAATTTGGCAATATCACTATTTTGGAGCCTGGATTGATACGGCAAAGCGCTCCTTCGGCACGAGGCCGGAAACCCGAGGATCATACCACTGAAGCATCACCACAATGTCAGCCTCCCACTGTTCATTGTGCAAATCCTTAGTTGTGTGGTTACAAAACAAATTTGGGTGCCCTTCTTGGCCTCACAACCAACCATACACGTGGGAAAAGTAACGTTGATTTAAGATGATGTGTACCAGTAGTGCCGCACAAGGCGGTGGCGGAAGTTTCAAAAATAGGAAACCTATAGGAGAGATTGGTTGCTGTGAATCCCGGATGGCAGAGCGAATCCACTGATGGACCGACAGGTGGTTGGAATTGTGTTTTTTGGAGTGGTTGCAATGGTTGCAGCGGTCACCTTACCACAACTGCTGGTTGTAGCGTGGTGTAGCGCAGCTGTAGTTGTAGTTGCAGTTGTAGCTGTAATGTAGTGTAGCGTAATGTAGCGGAGCTGTAGCTGTAATGTCGTGTCATTAGCGCATTTGCAAGCGCAGTTGCTGTTGTACTCGTGGTGTGGTGTAGTTGGTGTAGTGTATGTAGTGTATATAGTGTATAGTGTATAGTGTATAGTGTACAGTGTACAGTGTACAGTGTACAGTGTGTAGTGTGTAGTGTGTAGTGTGTAGTGTGTAGTGTGTAGTGCGTAGTGTGGAGTGCGCAGTGTCGTGTGCAGTGCGTAGTGTGCAGTGTGTAGTGTGCAGTGCGTAGTGTCGTGCGTAGTGTCGTGCGTAGTGTCGTGTGTAGTGTCGTGTGTAGTGTCGTGTGTAGTGTCGTGTGTAGTGTCGTGTGTAGTGTGTAGTGTAGTGTGTAGTGTAGTGTCGTGTGTAGTGCGCAGTGTAGTGTGCAGTGTAGTGTGCAGTGTCGTGTGTAGTGTCGTGTGTAGTGCGTAGTGTAATGTGTAGTGTAGTGTGTACTGTAGTGTGCAGTGTCTCTGTAGTGTAGTGTGTAGTGTGTAGTGTGTAGTGTGCAGTGTGCAGGGTGCAGTGTGCAGTGTGCAGTGTGCAGTGTGCAGCGTGTAGCGTGTAGCGTGTAGCGTGTAGCGTGGCGTAGTGTGTAGCGTATAGTGTATAGTGTATAGTGTATAGTGTATATTGTAGTGTGTAGAGTGTAGGGTGTAGCGTGCAGCGTGTAGAGTGTAGTGTGTAGTGTTGTGTAGTGTTGTGTAGTGTTGTGTAGTGTAGTGTAGTGTATTGTAGTGTAGTGTAGTGTTGTGTAGTGTTGTGTAGTGTAGTGTTGTGTTGTGTGTGTTGTGTGTGTTGTGTTGTGTAGTGTTGTGTAGTGTGTAGTGTGTAGTGTGTAGTGTGTAGTGTGCAGTGTGCAGTGTGCAATGTGGTGTAGTGTGGTGTAGTGTGGTGTAGTGTCGTGTAGTGTGGTGTAGTGTGGTGTAGTGTGGTGTAGTGTGGTGTAGTGTGGTGTAGTGTGGTGTAGTGTGGTGTAGTGTGGTGTAGTGTGGTGTAGTGTGGTCTAGTGTGGTCTAGTGTGGTCTAGTGTGGTCTAGTGTGGTCTAGTGTGGTGTAGTGTGGTGTAGTGTGGTGTAGTGTGGTGTAGTGTGGTGTAGTGTGGTGTAGTGTAGGGTAGTGTGGTGTAGTGCAATGTAGTGTAGTGTAGTGTAATGTAGTGGTAGTTGCAGTTGTAGTTGCAGCTGCAGTTGTAGTTGTAGTGTAATGCAATGTAATCAGTGTAGTGTAGCGCTGTGTAATGTAGTGTGGTTGTAGTTTTTTTTGTAGCTGTAGCGTGCCGCACGTGTAATTAGTGTAGTGTAGCGCAGTTGTAATTGTAGTTGTAGCTGTGGTAGTAGTAGTTGTTGTTGTTGTTGTAACTGTTGTAGTTGTTAGTGTAATTGGTGTGGTGTAGCGTAATTAGATGTAATTAGCGTAGTGTAGTGTAATTAGCGTAGTGTAATGTAGCGTGGTATATTTGCAGTTGTAGCAGTAGCGTAGTGTAGTGGTAGCTGTAGTTGTTGTTGTAATTGTCTATCTATCTATCTACCTATCTATCTATCTATCTATCTATCTGTCTGTCTGTCTGTCTGTCTGTCTGTCTATCTGCAAGCTTGAAAACGAAGCTATTCTGCGTGAGACTTCGTCAGTTTTTGAACTTGACAACATCAAAAACGCAGCAATTCAGCGAGACTTCCTCAATTTTTGAACTTGACAACGTCAAAAACGAAGCAATTCTGCGAGACTTCCTCATTTTCTTACGTTGACAACATCAAAAACGCAGCAATTCAGCGAGACATCCTCAATTTTTGAACTTGACAACGTCAAAAACGAAGCAATTCTGCGAGACTTCCTAATTTTCTTAAGTTGACAACATCAAAAACGAAGCAATTCTGCGAGACGTCCTTCAAAAATGGAAAGTTGAGTGCAGAGCTGACGGCCTCGTACCAATGCGTTTTGCAATTCTTCCACTCCATCTGTCTAAACTAGTGCGCCTGCCACGAAAAAATTATGATGCCAGGTCATACGAAGTGCTGCACCTGTCACGCAAAATCATCTCAGCAAACCTGAAGATCTGATGCTCCAAAATGCAACCCCTCTCAGGAAATCAGCGCCCGGAACTCCTAACAGCTCTGATGAACATGTCTCGCCTGCCACGGAAAATGCATCTTTGCAGATCCTCTTCAAATGTCGGAAATGCTACAAAACCCTCACGTTTTGCTCACTTTTGACAAGGTGCACAATCCTTTGCGCCTGCCACGCGAAACAACGTCTGAACGTCCAAAAGTGCTCCGTACCCCTCAGTTTTTTGCACTCTTGACTTGGAAATCTGCTTCGTGCCACAACGGCGTGCACTTTTTCGACATCTCAACTTCCAAAAGTAGTCCGAAGCTGGTGTGCTTTGTACAATTTGGTCATTTTGACTTCGAAGCGTGCTTCGCGCCACAACGGCGTGCACTTTTTCGACATCTTTTCCAAAACTGGTCCGAACATGGTGTGCTTTGTGCATTTTGACTTCGAAATGTGCTTCGCGCCACAACGGCGTGCACTTTTTCGACAGCGCAACTCTTAGAAGCGCTCCGAAGCTGAGGTGCTTTGTACATGTTGACTTGGAAATGTGCTTCGCGCCACAACGGCGTGCAATTTTTCATCTCTCATCTGGCCAGCTGGCTGGCTCCGCACCCGCCGCTTTAGCGAGCCTACTTTCGACCCTCCAGAGCCACAAATCATTGGAAAAACAGAGTGCTTCGCGACTTTCCTACCTTTTCTCGCACCTGGATCTTCTTTCTTCTGAGACTTTCTCTTTCTTCTTTTCTTCTCTTCGCTGACTCTTCCCATCTCTGCTTTTCATCTGTCCATATTGTCGGAAGTTTGACTTCTAAACTTCCTTCGAATATGAAACTAATTATTTAAGATATTTAAGTTGGAGTTGGAGTATTGTCGGACCACCCGGCGCTAATTATATAATTTTGATTCTTGGTGTCTGTTGCCACGCGCGCCCACTAACCACGATTGCCTGTCTGGCCCACCCACTCTTACCGAGACACAGCGCCGTAGAAATCCTTCAGCAGGACGCCTATGTGGATCAAATCCTGGATTGCCCACGTGCAGTCCCCAAAAACAAAGAAACATAAACTCGATCGTTGATTGCCGTTTCGCTGTGACACGGAACCATTCGAGATCTGAATGTGCATTTTCTGACCCTATATTTTCAACCTCCAACGTTGCTAATTTGTTGTTCGTAACTTCTTGCAAAACCAGCGGCTGGGGGCCCACCAGCTTGTGGCCGGTCAACATTTGGAAGCGCTTCACTCGCAGAAGATTCGAAGTTGATTACTGGCACACGCGTGGCAGCATGTGTTGCGTGTTGTAAAAGTTCTGGCGACGTTGCTCTGCTGCCAGATTCACATGTCCTAAGGTGCACCAAAGCATGTGAGCACGGTGGGATGTGAATGACAGCTTTCAGGCCCTTGCAAAGTGAAGGCAACACCTAAGATGCACAGGTACTTCGCGCCATGAAAGTGCTTCTATACATGCCTGGGGCGCGCCAAGCGTGAACCCTGAAGCGTCTAACAAGAATTCCTGCGTCAAGTGTTTGGTGGTGGACCAAACGCGCAAACTCAAGTGCAAACAAAATTCGGCTCTGGTCTTCCAAGCGCGGGCCCAAACAGCAAAAGCAAGCACGCAACTTGACAAACAATGTGTAAAGTCATGCGGCTCCATCCATGTGTAAGGTGCAACGCAGTTTCGTCTGCTTTGCTTGAGCCAAATGAAAAAATACCGCGCAAAGCAAAAGTTTTGTGCTGCCTGTGAGTTTCATTCCCGTGCCCGGGCCCCCTTGTCTCGAACATCATTGTGCGGGGCAGGCACCCCACTTGGTTCCAAGCCCCCTTTCCCAATCGCACCACAAAGTCATAATGCCTTTTTTACACACAACCTTCTCACATTCAGGTGCCATCTGCTTCATCTTGGCTCAGCCTGGCCCACATGCCTACACATGGGCCAGCCTCATCAATCAAATGCGCCAGGGCTGGCTTAAAAAAACATTCTTTGGCTTTGAAATCACCCATGGCTGGTCTAAGCAACAAAATGTGCGACCATTGGCATGTGTCTGCTTAGCTCCACTTCACATTTAAGCCACGGATTGTCGCTGCCATGTGCCTATCTGAAAGGAATCTGCTTGAAGATGGCAAGCAAGCCACCAATCAAATGGCACACCGACAGAATTGGAAGCCTTTTAATGCATTCAACTTATTGGAAACTGTGAGTCAAACAGCAGGGGCCTAGCCCATCCTAGGCCCACAACACAAAGATCAAGCCATGAAAAAAATGTGATGAAGTGATATCAGTGATGACTCTCAGGTGCCCCTGCATCCACTTGACCCACTAGACAATTTAAACCAACTGGAAGCCATCCAAGTCCGAGGAAGAAATCTGGTTTTGGAGCGTCTGCTCCACTTCTGGTCCAGCTTTCAAAGGATGGACCAACACATATCGCGGCCACATGCCTGACCAGGGGAATCCTTCAAAAACGATGGGTGCTGGGGACATGGTAACATGCTAGAATATGATAGAATATTCGGGTCTAGTGAGACCTTCATGGCGTTTCTGACCTCTGCCTGGCATCTTGGCGGCTTCCATCATGTTTTCGATAGAAAGGATGGAATGTCCAATTCCATCCAATTCCCAATGCCTGGCCAAGGGAAAGTCTGCACCCCGTCCAGCTTCGCCAAGCAATTCTTCAGAGCGACCTGTCATGTCATTCCAAATATGTCCCAATCATTCTGCCGCATACCATCCTGATCCATCCTGTCATGTCATGCCATACCTGGTCCACATGGATGCTGAGGGGCACCCAATAGCAGTGCTCCTTCAGGAGGCGCTCCACAGATTGTTCAATTGCCTCGCGGGCAAAAACACAGCACTGGGCCGGGCCTAAGAGAAAAGCACATATTTACTCTGTGACCTTCTGGTGACAGGAGCTCGACACTTTAATTTGTAACCCACCTAACCTACCCTCGGACGCTTCCAAACGCCCAAAACACGAATCCGACAACCCACCATTAACCAAACGACTTCTCGACTTGCCTCTTTTGCCCGGCTGGTGTCACGTGTGCGGCCCCACAGCTTTGCTTCCAGCAGTGGTCCAATGATGGAATTGGGAAAGACCACTTCCTGAGTTCCAAGGTTTCAATCAACAGCGGCAAACACAGCAGAAAAGCACCAAGCGAAAACCATGCATTGTGCATCTGCCCTCGCTATATCTCTTCACCTCTTCCATACCATGCAATCAATGCAATCTGTGTAGCAATCCATGATTCTATGATGATCTATGCCAAGGCTCAGCCAGGCCATACTTGGCGCGGACAGTCTTCAGTGTCTCGGCTGTTAACGTCCAGAGGAACGCCTCTGAGACACCGGGAAACTGCACCACCGCCTTTGGAGGGATGAAGTCGTACTCCGAGACGGGGCGCAGCTTCATTTTGCGGCACAGACGGTTGCACACGTGTGTCCCAAAGAACTTCCTGACACCGTCTTCTTTGAGGTCACCATCACCGAAGGACTCGTAGTTCCCATACCGGCAGTGCACCTGCGCTTGTGGGGCCCCTCTCGTAAATAGACCAAGTATCCCATGCCGGAAGCCACCAAGACAAGAAAATGCGGAAAAATGATGCATGTTTTCAAAGTCGGGTGATGTTATAATACATACATACTATATATATAATTAATCAATTAATTATATAATATATATATATATGTGAATACATCATAATATATCTGTGCGCGTGTCTTTATTAGGACAACTGATGCCCGTCTCCGGCCTGTGGATCTGTCAAGTGCAACTTGATTCCTCCAGTCTTCTCGTCAACTGCCGGCACCCCTTGGATGTCCACGACCAGCAGCTCCCGGTGGCTTTCATCGAATGTGAAATGCGAAAACGCTTGTGCAATCTCGCCTCAGATTTTGCAACCGACGCCCTCGTCAACTCGTTTAAAACTTAGCATCTTGTATCTTGCAACTTGGCGCATGGGGTTCAGCATCCTGTTGTGCAAGAAAGGCACAATGAGCACGATGCTCCGCTTTGTTGACGCTGCCCCCGTTATTGTTGAACTTTACGAAGTCTCCCTTCATGTGCAACTCGCCAATGAACACTTGGGTGCTCCCGGGCTCATCTTGCAGTTGGTACAAATAGTCCTCTAAGCTTAGGGGTCGCACGGAACAAACCTGTAAACACTGCACTGATCAACACTTTAACTTAACTAGTGCCATAAACCAGCTTGGTAGTCATGCAGTAATACAGGTTGATCCTTTGCAGAATCAATCAAAAATAACCAAGTGGTCATGTGAAGCATAAACCCTCAAGCGTTGCAAACAGCAATCCGGGATCTGCTCCAGCCATGCCAAAACTATTGCTCTCGGTACTCCTGGCGAAAGCCAAGACATTCACCTCAGCGCACTTGGGGATGATAAGATATGAATCTGCCCTGCCTGACTGATTGAAGATGGGCGCTCGGCCACGCCAACGTCAAATGAGTCAAAATCTTCATGTTTTCCGTCGGCTTTCAAAAATTCCAGCGCAAAATGGCTTTCACCATTCACATCACAGTGCATCAAAGGCATTCAAAGGCAACATTGCACGGGCCCATCCCAATAACAATCCGTGACCAAGTTGCCGCTCCTCTGGCGGAAGCATTTGGCATAGTGCCGAGCGACTGCACTATTGCGGCAGAACGGCTCCATGTCACCCTTGCACGTGTGCAGCAAAGTAATCCAATCATGCAAGCCATGCGCAATGCAGCATGGAAAGGCATGAAACAACAAGAGGAAACCAGTGAACTTGAGAGATCATCATTCAGCCTTCAAATTCAGGTTCATACTGTAAACTTGCCATCACTTGCCCTTCTGTCCATGGATTTTGGAAGCAGGCGTTGGGCCCAATGTTAGCCAAAAAAGAAACCACCAACCATTGGAACTGATATGAACTTATATAATCCCGTATCTTCACAAATGCCCAACAACAACAACAACAACAACAACGACGACAACAACAACAACGACAACAACAACAACAACAACGACAACAACAACAACAACAACAAATACAAATGTATCCAAATGTCCATACCCAGATATACCGAGCGCCTTCGTGCACGCCTGGATCTCCAGGGATGCATTGGGAGTCCCTCATCACAAACAACGCTTCATCTCAAAAGTGGAACATGTGAATGATGTGGCGAAACCATGCAAAACTAAGAAAAAACATGTTGAAACGTGTTGAAGTATGTTGAAACAATCCCCATGATTATGTGCTAAAAATGAGGGGGGGGTTCCCAATACATTATGGCTTTGTGTGGGTCATCATTTTCGAATGGTTTGCCATTTGCCTAAACTCCAAAATCATACAAAACCTTCTAATTTCAACCAATACCTAGGAGACAAGAAAGGTGGATAAGAGAAAGACAAATAGACACAAAAATAGATGGATATTTTTGGGTACTATAAAATGGTCATGGTCCTAGAATATTCATGAGTCCATAAAGTTCATGAAGAAAACAAAACCACAAAATCCACCAAGATCATGCCATTTGGCTCACAAGTTCCAGCACTAAGCAGCGCCAAATCATAGAAATAACAATATATTCCATCATTGCTTTGCATTGTACTACATACTACTACATATTACAGGTTACATGTTACAGCTTACACATTACATTGCTTTATTCAGGTGTGACGGAGCTACTTGTTTAGCTAGCTCCGCCCTCGTGACTCTAGCAGGCGCCACATTAGCCGCCTCAGATTTTGATCCTTGAGGCACGGTATAGTTGCCATGTATGAGGTCTTTGAACTTGTGCAGAGATTTCGGCATCGGCGCAGTCTCTGTATTTGTGATCTCTTCTTCTTTGATCTTCCTGGTTTTGGTCGCGAAGGCGCACGCGTATACGCACACAAACATGTACAGAAGGTCTGCGCACGCACTACCGTACCTGCGCCAAAATTATTCAGAGCCACCAACCATATGAAAATGGAACCATTTCTGGGGCGCCTTCCCTATCATTCTCTCTACCGTCCTCCTATGGACCCTGCGTCGAAGACCTACACGCAAAGAGAGACAGATCCATTTCTGGAGTCTACAGACAGGGCGCGCGCCTGTCCATCAGCGTCCTTATATATACTGTCATAGAGAAAGGGAGGGGGAGGGAGGGATTTAGGGAGGGAGGGAGGGAGAGAGAGAGCGAGAGAGAGAGAGAGAGACAGAGAACGAAAGAAAGAAAGAAAGAAAGAAAGGAAGGAAGAAAGAAAGAAAGAAGGAAGGAAAGAAAGAAAGAGAGAAAGAGAGAAAGAGAGAAAGAGAGAAAGAGAGAAAGAGAGACAGAGAGAAAGAGAGAAAGAGAGAAAGAGAAAGAAGTAGAGTGGTGGAGAGGAGCGGCAACGTCCCTATATACCATCTGGAGAGAAAGAGAGAGGGTGGTAGAGAATGTCCCTGGCTCTGGAAATAGGTCTGTTTTTCATTGCGCACCAGGAGGGCGCCGGGCGCGCACCTCACACAACACAGAGGCGCGCCCCCAGCGCGCGCCGGACACTAGGCGTGCGCCAGGTGCACGCCCGTCCATATATTTATTTATTTATTTATTCATTCATTCATTCATTTATTTATTTATTTATTTGTTTATATTATATATTATATATATTATATATATTATATATTAAATATATCAGTGACGGACAATATGATTTGTTCACCGTAATTGCCACGAGCAAAATTGGGTCGTCCCCTATCGGTTGTGAAGATTTTCGCTCTTTAATAGCGTTCAGCAGCAAATGCTTCTACTAGTACTAGAACTAGAACTAGTACTAATACTAGTACTAGTACTCGTCATCGTCATCGTAGAAGTACTAGTAGTACAAGAAGCAGAAGCAGAAGCAGAAGCAGTAGCAGGAGCAGCGGAAGCAGCAGGAGTAGTAGGAGTAGGAGCAGGGGTAGGAGTAGGGGTGAGATAGGAATAGGATAGGGGTAGGAGTAGGAGTAATAGTAGGAATGGTGGTGGTAGTAGTAGTAGTAGTAGCAGCAGTAGTAGCAGTAGTAGCAGTAGCAGCAGTAGCAGTAGCAGTAGCAGTAGTAGTAGCAGTAGCAGTAGTAGTAGTATGAGTAGGGGTAGCAGTAGCAGCAACAGCAGCAACAGCAGCAACAGCAGCAACAGCAGCAACAGCAGCAACAGCAGCAACAGCAGCAACAGCAGCAGCAGCAGGAGTATGAGTATGAGTAAGGGTAAGAGTAAGAGTAAGAGTAAGAGTAAAAGCAGTACGTGGGGCATGGTCTTGGCAAGTGAGAAAAATTGCAGGATTGGGTATCGGTTAGTATCGGTTGGGGTATCAGTGGGAATGGTGCATGAATTGCCGCAAACAATATTCTTGGTGCTCTTTAAGAGGAAAGCTAGCTGAGGTAGCTGTTTACAGCCTTGTTTGCAGTCGTTTCTGTAGAAATACACACTCTGCTGCAGATTATTGTGGGAACTTGTTGGGATCTAGGGGTATCGGTGCTGGGTCGTCCCCTATCGGTTGTGAAGGTTTCGTGAAGGTAAGCAAAGTTCAAGGCAGCTCTTTACTACTTTAGTATTCCAATAATTTTGTCGGATGCTCAATATATATATATATATATATTATTTATTAAATATATATAATATAATATACCGTCTAGAAAGACGCAGCAAAAGAGAGACGGCGGTAGAGAGTCTCTCTGACTCTAGGAAAGAAAGTTGTTTTTCATTGCATGCCAGCCCCGTGCGCCTCACACAGAGCGAGCACGCGCCGGGCGCGCGCCCGTCCATCAACGTCCATATATACATCTAGAAACAAACAGAGAAAGAGAGAGAGAGTGAGAGAGAGGGTGGTAGAGAGTGTCACACAGATAGAAAGGCTGGTAGAAAGTGTCTCTGGCCCTACAAATAGGCGTGGGTTTCATTGTATGCCGGGCGCGTGCCGGGCGCGCACCTCACACCAGACGCGCGCCGGGCGTGCCTCCAACAACACAGAGGCGCGCGCCCCGCGCGCGCCTGACAGTAGGCGCGCGCCCGTCCATCAACGTCTAGAAAGAAAGAAAAAGATTTTGGCAGACTAGAGACAAAGAGAGAAAGAAAAAGATTGGTAGAGAGCGTGTCTGGCTCAAGAAATAAATCTGTTTGCATTGCATCGCAGGCGCCCCGGGAACGCGCCTCACACAACACAGACGCGCGCGCCCAGCACGCGTGCGCCGGTCCATCAACTTCCATATAAATAAATCTCTAAAGAGAAAGAGAGAAGGAAGGAATGTGCAAATAAGTCTGTCTTTCATTGCGCGCCACAACACAAAGGCGCGCGCCCAGCGCGCGCCCAGCGCGCACCTAGTGTGTCAGGCGCGCCCGTCCATCAATGTCTATATATACCATCTAAACGGAAGAGAGAGGGCGGTAGAGAGTGTCTCTAGCTCTAGAAATAATAGGCGCGCAGAGGCGCGCAAAGGCGCACAAAGGCGTGCAAAGGCGCGCAGAGGCGCGCAGAGGCGCGCAGAGGCGCGCAGAGGCGCGCAAAGGCGAGCAGAGGCGCGCAGAGGCGCGCAGAGGCGCGCAGAGGCGCGCAAAGGCGCGCAAAAGCGCACAAAGGCGAGCAGAGGCGCGCAGAGGCGCGCAGAGGCGCGCAGAGGCGCGCAAAGGCGAGCAGAGGCGCGCAGAGGCGCGCAGAGGCGCGCAGAGGCGCGCAAAGGCGCACAAAGGCGCACAAAGGCGAGCAGAGGCGCGCAGAGGCACGCAGAGGCGCTCAAAGGCGCCCAAAGGCGCACAAAGGCGAGCAGAGGCGCGCAGAGGCGCGCGGAGGCACGCAGAGGCGCGCAAAGGCGCGCAAAGGCGCGCAAAGGCGCGCAAAGGCGAGCAAAGGCGCGCAGAGGCGCGCAGAGGCGCGCAGAGGCGCACAAAGGCGCGCAGAGGCGCGCAGAGGCGCGCAAAGGCGCGCAAAGGCGCACAAAGGCGAGCAGAGGCGCGCAGAGTCGCGCAGAGGCGCGCAGAGATGCGCAAAGGCGCGCAAAGGCTTGATTTATATCTTGACAATATATGTCATCATTATGACTAGAATATTTTAATGCCGGAAAATCAGCTTTACCATTGGTAGCAGAATGTTTCGGCTCCCGCAAGCACATGCCAGCACCAAACTTTATATTTATGTTTAAGACATATATCATGTTTCTTTTGACAATGAACATCGACGAGCCACAACAAGTCAAAAGCAAACACCGGCTTCAACCTGAGCTGCACCGTGTCTTCGTTCCATCACTTTTCTTATTTGTTGACATGTCACTTGACAATGAAAAAAATTGCAGCCTGCAATAGCCTGCACCCAATTGCTTTCATTTCTAGCCTCTGCTGTCAGGCGCGCAGAGAGGCGCGCAGAATCACGCAGAGGCGCACAGAGGCGCGCAAAGGCGCGCAGAGGCGCAAGGAGGTTAAGGCGCGCAGAGGCGCGCAGAGGCGCGCAGAGTCACACAGAGGCGCGAGGCGCGCAAAGGCGCGCAAAGGCGCGCAAAGGCGCGCAAAGGCGCGCAAAGGCGCGCAGGGGTGCGCAGAGGCGTGCAAAGGCCCGCAGAGGCTTGATATACATTGATATATCTTGATATGCTGATTGTGATTACAAAATGTTAATGCCGGATGATCAGCTATGCCATTGGTTGCAGTATGTTGCGGCTACAGCAAGCACATGCCAGCACCAAACTCTGTAATTATGTTTAAGACATTTCAGGAGTTTTTTACCAATGAACATCGACGAACCGCAACAAATCAAAAGCAAATAAAAGCAAACTATACCGGCTTCAACCATGAGCTGCATCAAATCTTTGCTCCATCACTTCTTAATACTTCTTATATGAAATGTCACTTGACAATGAAAAACATGCATCCTGCACCCGCTTGCTTTCATTTCTAGCTTCTGTCGTCAGGCGCGCAAAGGCGAGCAGAGGCGCGCAAAGGCACGCACAAAAGCGCGCAAAGGCGCACAAAGGCGTGCAAAGGCGCGCAGAGGCGCGCAGAGGCGCGCAGAGGCGCGCAGAGGCGCGCAAAGGCGCACAAAGGCGAGCAGAGGCGAGCAGAGGCGCGCAGAGGCGCGCAGAGGCGCGCAAAGGCGCACAAAGGCGAGCAGAGGCGCGCAGAGGCGCGCAGAGGCGCGCAGAGGCGTGCAAAGGCGCGCAAAGGCGCACAAAGGCGCGCAAAGGCGAGCAGAGGCGCGCAGAGGCACGCAGAGGCGCTCAAAGCGCCCAAAGGCGCACAAAGGCGAGCAGAGGCGCGCAGAGGCGCGCGGAGGCGCGCAGAGGCGCGCAAAGGCGCGCAAAGGCGCGCAAAGGCGCGCAAAGGCGCGCAGAGGCGCGCAGAGGCGCGCAAAGGCGCACAAAGGCGAGCAGAGGCGCGCAGAGGCGCGCAGAGGCGCGCAGAGGCGCGCAAAGGCGCGCAAAGGCGCACAAAGGCGAGCAGAGGCGCGCAGAGGCGCGCAGAGGCGCGCAGAGATGCGCAAAGGCGCGCAGAAGCGCGCAAAGGCTTGATTTATATCTTGATATATGTCATCATTATGACTAGAATATTTTAATGCCGGAAAATCAGCTTTACCATTGGTAGCAGAATGTTTCGGCTCCCGCAAGCACATGCCAGCACCAAACTTTATATTTATGTTTAAGACATATATCATGTTTCTTTTGACAATGAACATCGACGAGCCACAACAAGTCAAAAGCAAACACCGGCTTCAACCTGAGCTGCACCGTGTCTTCGTTCCATCACTTTTCTTATTTGTTGACATGTCACTTGACAATGAAAAAAATTGCAGCCTGCAATAGCCTGCACCCAATTGCTTTCATTTCTAGCCTCTGCTGTCAGGCGCACAGAGAGGCGCGCAGAATCACGCAGAGGCGCACAGAGGCGCGCAGAGGCGCAAGGAGGTTAAGGCGCGCAGAGGCGCGCAGAGGCGCGCAGAGTCACACAGAGGCGCGAGGCGCGCAAAGGCGCGCAAAGGCGCGCAAAGGCGCGCGCATCACACAGAGCGCGTGCCCGGCCATCAACGTCCATATATACCATCCAGAAAGAAAGAGTGAGGGTGGTAGAGAATGTCCTTGGCCCTGAAAATAGCTCTGAAAAGGGCGCGCGTAAAGAAGCCCCATAGACGGAAAATCTATTCGTCCGACTGAGGTCCGACAGTTTCATATTGCATCGGGCTGTCTTTATCAGTCAAAGTCCGATTCTATCTATTGGATTCCTTTGCGCAGCCAAGCCAAAGAGAAACCCAGCATTGAAGATTTTTGCTTGCGGGCCTTGCGCGCGCCGTTTGCAAAACACTGGATATGTTGAACTTGGACCCCAGAAAAAACTAGAAAAAACCGTAGCCTAAAGAGTTTGTGAAATTGAAAAGCCTGCATCAAGACATTCTCGTATAATTATTATGATCTTTTACCATTACTTCCATGGCAGCCACAGCCTTTGTCCCAGATTTCAAACACAGCGCAACAAAAAGCTACTGTAACCAAAACACGTTAAGTTTTCCATGTTCGGATTGGGTGATGGGCAGCACCAATAGATCGGTGGCCAGCGTGATAGAAGTGATCGGTGCTCTCAAATGCTAGTACCGGAGGTTCATGAACTTAGTGGACATGTACATCATCTCAACACATTCCATACTGTCATTGGGCAAATGTCACAGTTCTATGATGGAAAATGTGTACTTGTAGCACGCAGCAAGAACATTCTTCATATGACCCATATTGAAGATGGTACACATAGCACTGCCAATATTGAAAAGGTGCACGCAACGCTTGTCATCCTATATCTTGTAAAGCATTGCCACTAGATTTCAAAAGAGTGGGGAGGGAGGAAGAGAGGGAGAGGGAGACGGAGAGAGAGACAGAGACAAACAAAGACAAAAAGAACAAAAATAATGAAAAAAATGACATGTGATCCCATTTATTTTTCAACTCAAGTCAAGCCACCTGAAAACAAAGCTGCTTTGCGATAATCGCGCAAATCTGTTTTCTCAATACTGAGCCAAGCGGGATGTCATAGTGCTTTGTGATTTGCAACACTGCATTCAATGTTGAAGCCTATTAATATTCATTGCAATCTTCCACATATTAACTTTGATGGGTCACGTGTAAATCGCAGCTTCATGCATACAACCTTGGTATTTGCAGTGTGTTTTGTGAGCCTCGGTATGAAATCAAAGCTCAGGGTTTGCATTTCACCTAAGTTTTAAAAGCACTGAAGGACAAAAGACACTGGTATTTTCAGTGTCTTGTGATCAGTTTTGCTTGGAAACTACTCTCCCACCACTGCCCGCTCTCAAACAAAAACGTAGTAACAGCAAGGCGCAAAAGGATGCGCAAGGGAAGCTGAAGGTGGCCATAAGGATGCTTATGGCCACCTTCGTTTTGTCCGTGTTGTATCCTGTGCACTCTGCAGGTTGGTTTATCCTGCTATAGTTGTTGTTGTCCCGGTTGTCTGACTGGTACGTACCTTGCAACTCTCCCATCAGCAAAACGTCGGGCATGGACCCACGTCCGCTTAGGGACACTGTCCCTAAGCGGACTCCAACATGCAATGGACGGACACGCCAGCAATGTCCAGCCGTTTCATGGGTACGTCCGCTTAGGGACAGTGTCCCTAAGCGGACGTGCATCCATGCCGGATGTCTTGCTTAAGTTTTGTTCGCCTCCGCAAGGCGTCCATTCAACATGTTGGAGTCCGAAAGTGTGGAAACATGCGCTTAAGTTGCAAATAAAACTTGTTGCAAGTTGCAACTTTGAGGCAAACATCAGGCAGCGATCCATGTCCGCTTAGGGACGGCGTCCCTAAGCGGACTCTACCCTCCAATGGCCGGACACGCCGCCAATGTCCAGATGTTGGACGGCCACGTCCGCTTAGGGACGCCGTCCCTAAGCGGACATGGATTGCTGCCTGATGTTTGCCTCTAAGTTGCAACTTGCAACAAGTTTTATTTGCAACTTGCAAGTTTTGTTTTTAAATTGAAAATATGATAAATATGTTCCTATTATTTCCTATTGGTTTCAAAGGCTAGTGCGCCAGGGCCCTGCTTATATAGTCAGAAGGTCGAAGCCGATTCAAAGGCTTTCACCCTATTCACTGGTGGGGTTGCAAAGGCTTTCATCCTATTCACTGGTTCTTCGTTGTTTCTCAGTTGTGCTGAGGTGTCTTGTTGGCATCTGTTTTGTTTGCTTTCTTTGGTTCCCTTTGGGGTCCCACAGGGTTTGCATCGGCTTCGTAAAACCTATGATAACCCAAGCCCAAGGGGAACCAAAGAAAGCAAGGAAAACCGATGCCAAAAAAACACATCAAAAACATCCTCCTTGCAATTTCCTCTACAGAATCGAGGGGGCTGGCACCCCCAATTCTGTAGAGTCAGCCTGCGCCCTTGTTTTGCTACAAAATCAAAGACCATAGGCTGGCAAATGCCTAAAAATCCATAAAAATCCTCCATTTTGGGATGCGCCCCCAGAGGTTGCCGATTCTGTAGTGGATGCCCATGAATGGTTTTCAACATTTTTGATTCCCTAATCGCTTTGACTTTCTAAAGAATAATCCTCCTGAAGAAATTGAGATTCTTGATTTTGTAATATCATTTCCATAAGACCATTTTTGTTTGGATTCATCAGAGGTTGATTCTGTAGTGGTGAGAGATGGTGAGATGGAAGGACTGTGATTCTGGAAAGGATCATCCCCTGAAACCCTTTCTGCCCAACATGTATTGTTTTTGATTCTGTAGTAATATCATGTTCATAAAGCGTGTAAACAGGCACTTTTGGAATTGTTTGAGGCCTGTAAAAAATATGAAACTTTGTAAAAACAAGCATGCTACTTTGGAAACCTAACAAGAGTTCTCTACGGAATCGACTTCAATGGAAATCTCTACTACAGAATCAATTTAGACTTTTGAGTTTTCATTTGTTTTTGACACTTCTTGCCAGTTCCTGGGCTAGTTTGGTGATTGTGGCAGCTGCCCACTTTGGTTTTTCAGGGGTGCCAGGCATCTCCAATACCCCTAGAAAAATTTATCCCCTGTGGAAATTCCACAAAATGGCACTCAAACGGGCCATCTCCTAGACAATTTCCGAACCTTGCATAGTTTCCTCCATTTCTTCCATATTCCTTTCATGTCTTTCCAACTTTCGAGGGGAAGTACCGTGAGAGAAAGGTGGTCCATTGGACACCAGTTTTGCTTGCAAGTACGCGGAAGAGAAAAAACGGTTGGCAGTAATTGCCCAAACTACTGCAAACAGCTAGAAACGGCTTTTGGAAGGGCCAGGCCAAGGACAGGAACGTTGTGGCTGTTTCGAGATGTTTCAAGTTTATAGGAAATTGCTCCAAAACCCAATTATTCCGGGGTATGCAGGCTTCAACATTGAATGCATTGTTGCAAACCACAAAGCACTATGACTTCCCGCTTGGCTCAGTATTGAGAAAACAGATTTGCGCGATTATCGCAAAGCAGCTTTGTTTTCAGGTGGCTTGACTTGAGTTGAAAAATAAATGGGATCACATGTCATTTTTTTCATTATTTTTGTTCTTTTTGTCTTTGTTTGTCTCTGTCTCTCTCTCCGTCTCCCTCTCCCTCTCTTCCTCCCTCCCCACTCTTTTGAAATCTAGTGGCAATGCTTTACAAGATATAGGATGACAAGCGTTGCGTGCACCTTTTCAATATTGGCAGTGCTATGTGTACCATCTTCAATATGGGTCATAGGAAGAATGTTCTTGCTGCGTGCGACAAGTACAAACAATGGACATCAATGGATTGTGCAATTCAAACATGCGTAAAGGTGGGCGATCTACCCCGTAGATCCTTCATAAACTGGACCATCCAGCGCATAAGTTTTGAAAGCTGGACTATCCAGCCCTTAAGGAGGCTTTGGGGTGGCAAGCTGGCCATGAAAACTTAGAGCAAAACGTTAGGCATGGATCCGCGTCCGCTTAGTGGATCCATGCCTAACGTTTTGCTTAAGTTTTGTTCGCCCACTTGCCTCCGCAGAGCCTCCAATTTCATATGATTTGTTTCCCCTCTCAATTGTCTTAAAACCACAAGGGCTGGATAGTCCAGCTAATAAAAAGAATATGGACGTCCAGTTTATAAAGGGTTTATGGGGTCGATCGCCCATTTCAATTGGACTGGACAAGCCAGTTTTTAAACATATCTGGACTGGATAGTCCAAATTTTGAACGTTTGAAACATCTATGGGCTGGGTAGCCCAGCTTCAAAAATGTGTGGGCTGTATAATCTAATTTTTAAAACATCTATGGACTGGATAGTCCAGCTTTAAGACGTCTATGGACTGGATAGCCCAGCTTTGCAAAAAAATGGACTGGTCTTGTAACACTGGAATATCCTGTGCACAAATATTTCAGCTGGACTGTCCAGCCCATGGATGTCTTAAAACTGGGCTATCGAGTCCATAAATGTCTGAAAACTGGACTATTCAGCCCATAAATGTTTCTAAAGTGTACTCTCCAGTCTATATGTTCAGTCAAAAGGTTTTGTAAAGCTGGA